GAATGTTCAATTGCAGTATTAAATCCACTATCCCCAGTCGGCCTCTAATCTTCGTATTTCGAGACAAAATATCATACCCCGAGAAGGAATAGAATTTCCTAGACGCGGTACGGTACAGCTTTTCTTTGAACCCACGAGTACAAGTACTGTACTCGAGTGGATTTAAAATTTTTTTACGGTACTCAAGTACGATAATATGCGAGTGCTACACCCCAATTCTGTTCCGTTTCAAAGCACATGATAAGTTACTGTACCCCCCACTCCTTCCTCCCATCCTATGGGATTCCTACCGTATTGCACCTACAGGTCTTTTCCCTTCGGTGGGCAGAGCGGTGACTCCTCCAGCCAATTCATACCCTCCACTTCCCCGCGACAACTACTCGTAGGTGAAGGGCCTCTATAATTTTGAGTCCGATCGCATAATACATGGCCACCATACTTTCATTATACTACCCCATTATCACCCCACGCGAACATATCTATGCATTCCCATACGGGGGGTAAAGGAATAGGTGAAAGGTAGCTCCCAACCTAACTTCCATCGACTACTCATGTAAGGTGTCCTCCGGATGTTTGTTTCTCAGGACTCGTTCCGAGGCCCAAACTCAACGATCCGGCCATCGTGGAATCAGCTCTGGAATCACTTGCCCTTGTCGGACTACGCGTAAAAGAATCTCAAAATGAGTACAAGTACAGTACCGAAATCATCCCCCGCACAGATACCGCCTCCATGGTTGGTGTTGTGGGCAACGGATCTACGGGGGGAAGAGGGGTGGAAATTAGCCATTGGTAAAGCACCGGTACGGTACTATACTGTACTCTCGGGAGAAGGATTATTCATTCAAAGCACATCCCTCTGTACTCAAATATGTTATTTTAGTGATTCAACAAGTAACTTAACCCTCCTGCTTTATTTGGAGGGAGATGAAAACTTTTTTCGCTTGTTATTATTCTGGTACAGTACCGGTACTGTATTTATCGCTACAACTACGTCACAGAAGATTCTACATCTAGCTATTCTGGGGGGAGCAGAATCAATTGGATCAGCATAATACCAGTGGTAAATATAGTCTGTCAGAATACTGGTAAGTACTGAGACCTTACCATACGAGTTCCTCACGATTACCTAGATGATAGCCAGCCCTTTTCACCTCAGAATCGATAATAATCATAGCAACTCACTGGTTACTCCTGGAAACCCAGGTTACTGCTTTAATCTGACTTGCTTTTTTATCCTCCGGCAGGTTTCCACGAATGCCCGACATGACGGTATCTCCCAGTCCCCCCCACTCTCCCACCCGAGATACACCATCGCTAAGGTAAAAAACCCATCATAGTGATATTACACCAAGTTTCCTCCCCCGGCTAAGCACAAGCCACGACTGCGCCCCGGAATCCAGATGCCTACGGTATTTCGACTCTCATGCGAACGCCCCTCCACAACCATCTTGCCGTAGTGCCCTCGGAGCTGCTAGGAAGTTCGGAAAATCTTGGTCTAACGGTGCTGATGTGTTTCGGCCCGGGGAATTACCAATTGATGGAATCAGCCCCGACCCGGAAGATTGCCGTGAGTTCCATTCATAAAGTATTCGGATGCCTTGGCGCCTAACTATGGAATCTTGGCGCCAAGGCATCCGAATACTTTATGAAATGTCAAGTAGAGTGGAGTTTTGATGGGGGGGGAAAGGCAATTCGCTCTGGATCGTATGATCCGTGCTCCCGGGGTGCAGGGAAACTGGAGGCCACCACCGTACCGAATCGTAGGCGCAACTCCAGGAAACTGAGACAAAACATGAAGAGGAAACGTTTGGGGGCTTTTTTAGAAGACATAGACTATGTATGATACGTTGTACTATGATATATATTACAGTACGGTATACCGCAAAAATTCTCCGGAACCCCAATAATAGCCAGATAGCATTCCTAGAATTCGAATCCCTCCAGCAAAAAAAGGTTGGAAAGGAAAACGCCAATTCTCTCCCTTGAGGCCGGGCTCGGGGTGGATTACACAAAGTTAAGACTTTGAAAGCATTACACACAAAGTCCTTCCGCCATCGGGATCAACGGTAATAAAAAGAGCGGTTTGTATTCGTGCACATATAATAATAGGTTATGATGGTACAGTCGCACCTCGCTGTTCCGGATGGCCAAAATCCGGCCAAAATCCAAGAATTTGTCAGGGACAACAGGTTGGGCTCCGGTGCAAGAAATTTCTGAAATCAGAGAATTTCATCCGGTTCAACGGGGGATCCGGGAGAGTGAGGTCCGGGACAAAGGGGTGCGACTGTATTCACTTGATGAGGGAAGACTGTGATAAACTATAGATAACTGGCACGCTAAACTACCAGTACCGTAATGGTGGGGGGTAATGGCAACCGAAGGGTTTGAATCAATACAACTTTTGGATGCTTTGATCTGCTCTAATTCCCATGCTAATACAGATAACTCCATCCCAGGCTAATTCCGTGGCGTCTAGAGAAAAGCAAGTAACACAGTTCACCTCCAGCAGAATCTCACTTTCTGACTTCCGAGAGGGGAGGAGAAAGGGGCACGGCGCGGTACAACAAAATCAAGGCAGAATGGCTCTCCCCTAGAATGTTTTATTAGAATGTCAAACATCCGAAAGCGGTACTATCGGTAAGGGTACTAACCACCACCGGCCAGGGTTTCAATTCTATCTCTAGGCACCTCCGAGACCTTCTCGTCATTAAAGAACCACCACAAATCGTCATCGCCCTCCTTCTTGACGTAGCTGCAATAATGACCGGAGTCTGCGCTCGAACCCTGATGGGTTATGACACCCATCAGCTCGTACAGGCCACTCGCGTTGCACCCCTCGTCTTGGGCAAGACCAGGGTCAAGTTTATCCTTTAGCTCTTGCTCCCAGTCAGGGAGATTGTCTTCTGCTTCCTTAAGCCTTGCCTCGGCCTCACTTTTCTCCTTCTCCTCAGCTTGTGCCGCCTGCTGGCTCTGAGCCGCGCCAAATCCGCTCGCACCAGCGTTTCCGCCGGCAACATCATCAGGGTTGGCGGCAGACCGCTTGAGGCGCTTGCGGGTACGTTCACGATCCTGGGCGTCTTTGCGGAGATCCCGGAGGCGATCACGGACAGGGATAAGCTTCTGACGGAGCTCATCCGTGCAAAACTCGGTCGCATCGAGTTCGAAAGGAAATGTCACTTTGCGCATGATCTTGGCCTTTTTGTTGATCTCGCGCTTCCAATAAAAGCGAACAAAATGGCACTGTCGTAGTTAGTAAGCTACTATAGACTAGAGGACTAGAAACTCACAGTAAGGTATCTAGGAAGCCTAGTGATGCGACTGGTCTTTGTATACGAAGCATCTCTATCCAAGCTTGGACTGTGCTTGTCGATCGCCTCAGTCAAGCCAGACAGTAATCCATCACGAAGATGACTGATTGAAGAGGAAATATGGCACTTAAGGTTGAGAAAAGTTTCGACGACCTCCACGGGTGGCTCATCCGGGGTTTCCTCATCGCATTTCAGCGTCGACACCATTTGACCAGACAGGTACTTATCGATAAAAGAAACGGAAGTCGAAGAACCCTCTCCTCCTGGGTTGATTTTTAGTTTTTGTTTCAATTGTGAGATGATCTGAGAGTAGCATTCTTCCGCATCTTGTTGTGCATAATGACCATCCTTTCCCTTCTGCGCAAATTGTGGGAATGCCGTGCGAAGTGCCCCAAGAAACATCATTGGTGGGAATCCTCCGGTGGTTTCTCCCATTTGTTTGTAAAGGTCCCTCAAAGCGCTTGTCAAATCACCTCCGATAGCACCGATCCCAGCCAACAGTGAGCTTGAGCCACCAAGAATGCTTCCACCAGCACTATCAGGGGTTTCCTGATACTTCCGAAGCTCCTCTTGTAACTCTGGGACAGCTCGTAGAGTCTGGAGGGTGGAGTTCATATAGCAGGTGTTCCCCAAGTTTTGGAGCCCAGAAGGTATGGCACCTGCGGCTTTAGCGAGATCGGCATCACTCATATCTTCCAGAAACTTCATCTTCTCTTTTGGTGGTTGCACACTCTTCCCGGCAGGGGTTCCCATCATCGTGAAATTATGTCCGGGTTTGATACCCAGAGCAGAGAGGTCTGTGTCATCTTTAAGTTGCCCACCCTTGATAAGGATCTTTTGGCGCTCAGGTTCGACTTGGGTAAGAGAGTAGAGTTGATATTTAAAAACTTCGGCAGACTGGGAGAGGTCTAATTCGAGCTCGTGACGTTTTCCGGCATGTTTAACGAAGACTAAAGAATCAGCATAAGGCAAGAATATGGGGACCGAGAGATAAACAAACCTGTAATGGAACTCATCTCGCGCCCGTGAGGATTAACCGACGGGGTTTGATAGAGCCGATGGGGTGAAAGCGGGTGCGTGACTCTATTTGAAGACAAGAGTGGAGTGGAGGATGTGTTGAAGAAGATCTAGGGTTCGGGATGGACAAGAGGGAGAGTCAGGGACAAGGGAGATGAATCGGACTCGTGATAAGTCAACCGAACCAAACTCAGGGTGGTGGGGTGATTGAGGTTCTGCCCCGTCACCGTGACTAAGCAACATCTTACCTTTTCACAGTTTATGCGGCTCAATTGTGGCTTTACCTTTGGTCTCTGACGAACCAGCCACCTTTCGCGCGAGTCACTTTGCTCGCTTTTCCTTTCCATTTCAGCCTCTGGGACAATCTGAGGGGCATGGCTTTGTAGGGCAAGTTTTGAGGCACAGATTTTTCACAAGAATCGCACTGGAGTAGTACGGTACTGTGCTGCAGTATTCGCCTACCATACTGTGAGAATGCACCCGAATTAACCAATTATATTCTTATCTCCGGCAACAGAGACATCTCCGGTAAACCACATGGTATATATCATTGCCTAGCGCAATCCTCAAACCTCCTGGTATCCCACCTGCGTTGAAATCACAACGGCGGTGCACAGTGCCGGTATCCCACAGCTGTTACCAGTATCCCTGTTTGTAGAAACTTACCTGTGGCTGCCTTAGGGTTAGGGTTTGCCGCCCACTCCCTCTTCTCCGCTCCCCTGCATCAAGTTCAGAGCTCCCAACATCTAGGGGCAACAACGAACACTACAGCCGCAATACATAGAGTTGGATCACGCCTTCCTTCACTTTCACTCCACTTTACAATATTGACCGAGCCATAATACCTATATTCTTCTAAGACACCGCAGTTACCATGACCGAACAAATTAACGCCATTATCGAGCCTAAGCTCGAACCGAAGTATGATCATTACGACTTTCCGATCACCAACCCCATGACGGGCAGTGGTCACTCTGGTCACGTTGATGCTGAGCAAAACGCAAAGCTCTTTCAGCTAAGGAGTGAGCTTGAGAGCGAGGGGTGTACTGAGAGACTGGATACGCTGACTTTGGTGTGTTCGCTCTTGTTGATAAGGGGTGCACGAACTAACGATTAACCGCAGCTTCGGTTCTTGAGGGCAAGAAAATTCGATGTCCCATTGGCAAAGGCCATGTAGGTCCCCTACCCCGTTTGTCGCTTTTGCGAATAGGGTTTGTCTGTTATCGATCGATGTTCAACTCAGGCCAATCCTTAGGTTCCTCGCTACGGAAAAGTGGCGAAAGGAGTTTGAAGTCGACAAGATTGTTTCCACCTTCGAATACACCGAAAAGCCCAAGGTATTCGAGTACTATCCTCAATACTACCACAAGACAGATAAGGATGGCCGTCCCGTATATATCGAACAGCTCGGCAAGATAGATCTCAATGCAATTTTAGCCATCACCACCCAGGACCGCATGCTCCAGAACCTCGTCCTGGAGTACGAGAGACTGGCGGATCCCAGATTACCGGCCTGCTCAAGGAAAGCTGGCCATCTCCTTGAGACATGCTGTACAATTATGGATTTGAAAGGCGTTGGAGTTACAAGTATCGGCTCAGTCTACACCTTCCTCAAGGCAGTGACTGCAATCTCCCAAAACTATTATCCTGAGAGGTGTGTTTCACTATCTATCTTGCTTAAATGATTTAACGAGAATAGGCTTGGGAAGTTATACATCATCAACGCCCCCTGGGGGTTCTCTAGCGCTTTCAGTGTTGTTAAGGCGTTCCTCGATCCAGTGACCGTATGTCAATTTGGCCCCTTTTCTTACCGAAACTAACTTGAGCAGGTCGATAAAATCCATATCCTCGGCAGTGGCTACCAAGCGGAACTTCTGAAGCAGGTGCCCGCGGAGAACCTCCCCGTCATCTTTGGCGGTACCTGCTCCTGCGAGGGGGGCTGTGAGCTGAGTGATGCCGGCCCATGGCAGGAGAAGCAATACACAGAGACTGTGGTCAAGCCAACCACTACAACTACAGCGGCCGCACCCGAGCCTGCCCCAGCGGCCATGGCAACAAGCACTGCTTAGATCAGGCGTGCGGGGTAACGGATTTATCACGGCTTAATTAGATGTAGTCTTGTGGGCGTGGATACCTGAAGTGAGGTTCCGGTGAGATGTCTACGAGCATTTAGTAAAATACTATTCAGATATTCAGAATTGTTACTGTCTAAAGTTGAGGTTTATTGCTGTTTTGGGGGGACTAGCCGTTGGAATCTGGAAGGGGTTTAGTTTAGAGTGGCCTTGGCATATTTTTACGCTAAAATCTAGACAATCAACTTCTAAATTCTAAATTTTCTAAAATCTAAACACTCTCCTCTCGGTTCGAATTTGAAACAGGTTTAAAGGTCTAGAAACTTGGGTGCGGCTTGTCGACCGGTCGCAAGACCACAATTCCTGACACATTGGAGGACTTGCCGTAGGAATCTCGAAGTAAGTTAACTTGGAGCAAATTTTTGCGCAAAAATCTAGAAAAGCTAATCCTCAATTCCGAATCTAAAAAGTGTCTGAACCAAGGTGGGGGTGGTTCAGATTTCGGACTCCAAAATTTGGAAATTGAGAGTCCATCGGATGATGAAGTTTCAATGCCATACTATTAAATTTGAAGCAGTAAATTAGTGCGATAATGACATCAGTGATCCGATCTAAATAAACAACTTCATTTTCTTCGAACAGTAATCTTGGCTCCGAGCCAGAGGTGATCCGGAGAGCATTCTCTGCTGTCCGGTATCATATCAGGCAGGCATGACAGCAATCCGCATTCTTTACATCACCATCTCTCCTTTTTCAGAATTTTTTTTTTTTTTATATATCAAAATTCTTGCGAGGATTGAAGATAAATAGTGACATTACCTCTTGCTTGTTTTTCTTCCTCCTCGTTTACCATATCTACTGGATTGAAAAGAAAAAGAAAAAGAAAAAAGAATCTGGATATCAAGAAACTATATAATTCTTTGCTACGGATATCAGATTGCCTTCTAAACCGTTCTCCAAAAACCTTCCGGGTTTCTCCGGGTTCCCGAGGGGAGTTCAAAAAGCTCGGGTACGTGCAAGAGATGGAGAGTTGGCAAAGATACTGTGGGATGAGGTCCTATCAGAAATCATTTCTTGTTTGTATATCTTAAGTTTCACCAGTGCGATTTCGTTTTAACGCGATTATTGTAATCTAGGGAATCGGAAAGCAGTTTGTCTACGAGGATAGTCTGTATCCGGAACTGAATTCCTATCGGGAGTGCTCCACTGTCGTGGCCAAGAAATGAGCCCCGTTGTGGGGCGTTCCACGAGGAAAGTGGTTAGAGGGTGCGATATTGGTTGGTGTTTAAGCGTTCTTTACTTGTAGACTACTCGTAGAGTAATAGAGCCTTTGGGTAACCGGACTTTGAAGGAGACTAGCGTCTTCCCGTTCCACGATACCGCACTTGTGCTCCCCAAGCCCCCCGATTGTGGTCCGGCGTCATTTGCCATGGATCTTATCTTGAGGCTATGATGATTATGAGTATTTACTAGAACCCGGTCGACAATCCAGCCCGCCCCGCTAAACTCCACGAGTGACTTTTGATGATGGCCTTAACCGGCACAAACCTTTATATGATACAGGGAATTACACATAATTATATATATATATATATAAACGGAACGACCCGTTTACAGCCACGACCAAAGCGTCAAAAGGAGGACGTCAAGAGCCAACCAACCCCACCACACCACTTCCCTACTCCTTGCCCCGGCTCCCCTCTGCACGCAAGCGTACTCTATGGTCTTGTTAACGTCCGGCACCCAGCTCGGCGCGCTCCCGACCGTCAAGTTGTGCGAATGCTTAGCATCCAGAACGCCCTTGAACACCACCTTGTAGCTCCCGTACTGAACTTTATCCCGCGCTATGTCGATTTTGTGATCGCCCAGCCTCCACGAATCGAAGTGCCCGGCGAACTGGCCGGAAATGGTCAACTCCGCGGTCGAGGGGGAGAAGGTGCCATTGAGCGTGGTGGTCGTGGTGTTGGTGTTGGCGGTGATGGCGGGGGAATCGGCGGTAGCGGGGTAATTCTGCATGAGAAAGTTCGCGTACTGCGTCGCGTTACAGGTTGGGAATTCGTAGACGAACGTGGAGGTATCTACACCTAGTCGCTTCTACAATTTTTTATTTTTTTTTCCCGTCAGCGCCATTACACACGTTGTCAAGTCCTGGACCATACATCTGTGGAATTCTCGTAACTCCCCACGAACGACCAGCCCCCGCCGCTGCTTCCGACGTTTAGGTCCACGACTGAGGGGGCGCTCGCGTCGCCGTACTTCCCGCCATTGCTCTCGGCTCTGAAGGCGGAAACGCTTTCAAAGTCCATGAGTACCCCCGCCGGCATCTGGCTGGGTACCAGATTCTCCCCAGAGAACGGCAGATCCGGGATCCATGCGTTCAGCAGGAATATGAAGGGGCTCTTCTGCACGTTGTCGGGCACGGTTTGGTACCTGTTGTCTAGGATTGAGAGGACGGCGGATAGGGTTCTGTTGAAGGTACCGGCTTGCGAGGCGCAAGTTATCGAGGCGTTTGAGAGGGTTACTGTTGTCTCCTTTGCCATGAGTGTCCGTTAGCTTATTTTCCTCCCAATTGGCAAGAGGAAGGGAGGGGAGGACGGACGATAGTGCCATCGTAGTAACTACCAACCCACTTGTACAAGAATGGATTCTTGGCTCTCAATAGCCCGTGGTCCGGGCCAGGGCATAACTTGTACTGCTGTTTCAAGAATTTGGCCTGGGGGCTGGAGGAGTATTCTATGTCTTCCTCGATTGAGTCGGTCGGAGACGGACTTGTCCAGACAAATCCTGCGAGCAAGGACAACACAAAAAATAACCAAGAGGACCTCACCATTTTTTCCCTTTCTTTTCCAGAATTCGTTATCGCAGAGGTACAGAGGGATGAAGGAGGGGGGGATATGTGATTCCTACATATACAACTCCCGTCCCTTCACAAGCAAGAATAGAAAAAAGAAAAAAGGGGAAGCAAAAAATTAAAGGAATTGAGAAGTTAGGGCTACCATGTTTGTTCCCCTCTTCCCCTCCTCCATCTCCTCCTCCACGGTCCATGGAATGGACGGACGGGACAAACCGACAAACCAGATCCCCCATAATGGGGAATGATCCCATGGCAAGGCACTTCAAGCCATGCAGTGGTTCTCGCCGTGCTTTTATGAGCGCGTTAAGTAAGGCTTTAGTATGTAGCGTGCGTACATACATATACATACTGCGTTTAATACATGGTTTAGTACAGGTCATAATGATCTCCCAGGCAGAGCACATGCGAATATCGTATTTTTAGTTTTGAGGTTCCGAGGAATACCGTTCCCGTACCGTCCCGGCCCGAACCGCGATTTATCAGGTTCCGTACTGTACAGTACAATGCCAGGTATCGCACGGGGCTGCTGTTGTGGCATGATGCCATTTTTTTCCCTCTCTTCCAATTGAAAATTCTAGTTTGTATGTATGGGCGGGGTGACTTGTTTGATAAGGTCGAGAATAATGTTGGTAGCCGGGTTGGCGGGGTGGGGTTGTGAGTGCAGTGAGCGCTGAGCAGGCGGGATGGGCGGGTAACGTTATCAGTTTGGTAGGTAGATTGTGGGGAAGGGGGGGGGGTGCTGTGTTCACTTTGATAAGAGGAACTTGCCCTCAAAGTGCCGGTATGATAACGGAGTTCTTTTTGTCTTGGCCCCGTCGAAATAGGGAGGAGCATGGTCATCCTGAGACAAAATTGCTTCTCTTATCCAGGTTATTACGGGGGTTTTTTTTCTTTTCTTTTCTTTTCTTCTGTTAAAAGCGTGGTATGATTTTAGGTATTGTGCATGACAAGTACTTCCTAGGGTGCAACCGTTACTGTACGGGTACATGCGGTAAGGATCTCATGGCATGTCCGGGTTGATGAGTACGGCAAGTGATGGTTTGTAAAATACCGTACGTACCGGTAGTCCACCGGTATTGCTAGGGATACGGAGAGTATAATACCTCACTATCTGGCTGGAAGCAGTAGGTGATAGTATCGTACTGGTACGTTCAAATAAGATTTTTATTATTGTTTTGTCTCAATCGCCATAAAACCACATATCCTAACCCTGTATAGCCAGGATTAAACCCTTCACTTTGACGCAATCGTGAGTTTCACTGCAGCCGCCCCTTATTTCAACTTAAAAGTGTCTGCTGGTTCTCGCTAGATAATGCGGTAGCATGTGGTGGGGTTGTTGGAGGTGTGGTACATAAGTAAGTCAGGGTTAATAACGCTGGAGCGGTGAGCTGCTTCGTGCAATGATCTGGGCTCGGGTGGGTGGATATATACTGCACAAGTGATGGCACTTGTGCGAGGAGAAAGCCATAGCAACACGCGTGGTATGATACCGCTGGGCTCAAGTGGTTGTAGGGCTACTATGATGCTAGGAGGAAAAAAATAGAAAAAGAAGACAGATTTAGAGAGCATAGAACACAAGCAAGTCGCGCAAAGAATTTTTTAACAAATCCGCAGAATCTCAGACAGAACATTCCAAAAGAGAAAATAATGCCAAAGAGATGGGGGGAGCGATGATAGGATCCAAATCATAGCGCAACGCCCGTTTTCATACCTGTAGAAACCATTCATTAGCGAGATGTTTGTGATGTGTGCATAAATCCAATCCGCACCTCAAACATCAATTTCTTCCAGCACGCCCAAAATCTACAAACAAGATTAGCCTTTGAAAGAGACGATAAAATCGATAAACCGGATCGGACTTACCTGTTGGGTATATCTCACACCAACCAAGACACCGTCGTCCTCGAGGAATTCACTTTCGTTACCCAACTCCGAGTCTCTATCCAAACACGTGAGGCACGCGATCACAATGTCCGTATACTTGGTTCCCATCCTCGGTGGCAAGTAGTTGTACGCCATGGCCATCAACACCTTCTTGATCCGGGCGGCCCTCTTCCTTTGATCCCTGTCTTGGAGGATATGCACAATCTGCGACAATGCTGCAGCGGGCCCCCCCTCCTCGTTCACAAACGGGGACCATAGGCCGATTTCCAGCAGGATGACGCCCAGGCTGTAGATGTCGTGCTGCATCCTATACACATGATCCGGGAGGGTTCCCTGGCGACTGGGGTGGCGGTAGAGGTTATTCGACCAGGACTCATCGCCGGCCCTGTAGGTGACCCCGTCCGCGGACCGGAACATCTGGAAACCGACGAGGAATGGGATGCCAAGAGTTTTCCCGGGATTGGGGAAGACAAGGATAGTCTCGGGACGCATGTTCTTGTGGACAAAGTTGAGGTTGTGTACGAACATGACTGCCTTTGCAATCTGTTTGGCGAGAAGGACGCGCTCCTCGAGGGGATGTGGCTCGTTGGTCGATCTCTGGAGAACAGTTCGGAGGCACTCGGGGCTCTGGTCGAGTCTGTGGGGCATCTCCAATATAAACTCAAATTTTTCAGGGGCCCCATCGCTCCTCTGCTGCCTGACGACTCCCCTGCAAGCCAGGACTCCCGGGACACCCCTGGATTCCCTAAGCACACTTGCCAGCTTTGTCACGTCCTTGTCGAGTTGCTTGTAGTCTCTTCGACCCGGATCAACAGTAATAGTTTCCATAATGTATCTCATGTTGGTAGTATTATCGAAAACGATATAAGCCCCGGAGTAGCCAATGGGGTTTGGGAAATACATCTTCACGGGTTCCAGCCAGACTGGCGTGAGCTGTTTCGTGGGTTCGTCGGCGAGGACGTCACGGATCGCTTTGACAGCGGTCACAGGACTATTATCGGGCTGATTCTTTTGGACTTCCATCGACAGGATTCGATCTAGCGCGGGGTTTTTCGGTATCGATAGCATGTAAAAAGTTGAATTAAACATATCCCTCCACCTCTCCAGCACCGATACATCCTTCTCCAACGATGACTTTAGGAAAAAAGCGAACTTTATCACTCTCGCTCTCCCTCTTCTATCCTGTAGCTTTTCGAGATTTCTGTAGGCAGTGTGCAAGTAGTACTGTAGTTTATTGAGAAGCTCCGCTATATGGTCTGTGAGGACTTGGTGAACTTCTTTCTCGGAACTCTTAACCGTCGTTAATTGGATTGCAATATGTAACCAGACATTTTCTACCCGAAACTTTAGGCCTTCCACATCTTTGTGGGCTTCTTGGACGTCCCTGTATCGTTGAAGGAGGTTCTGGCCGACTCTGGATACATTAGCAAGCTCCGGACGTTACTGAGGCACCAACACTTACCGAAGACAAACATCTGCAACGCCCAAGACCCCAAGACCCCCCAAAGCTAACCCGGCGACCTCCATGATGATTAGTGGGTGGATGTTTTATCTGTTTTCTTGTTGTGCGGGCGGCGGCGGTAGGTCTCTCGAGCACACTTTATTCTTTTCGGGGACAAGTTGCCTCCCCTCTCTCTTGTCGGATGATGTTCCCCCCCCCAGGGCTGTGGACTGTGCGCCCCCAACTCATTGGTTCCATCAATACATCCCTGCACGGCTGCAGGGATTGACTGGACTCCTCCAGCGGTTGGCCACAGCCTCTGTTGCCGACTCGCACCCAGCTGGTTTCTCGGTTCGGCCTATAGAATACTTCCCACCGGCAATGTGAGCTATGGAGTTGGCTCAGATGTACTCGAGTACTCTTAGAAATATTGGTATCGTTATTGATAGCCACATGATACCGCTATGCGAAGGGGAACGGCCTGCTTTTTCGCTGCCACGGCATTGTCTATCGGGTCTAGTGAATGCCTAACCGCTGTAAGCGCGCTAAGACTAGCGCAAGGAGGATGCTCCTAAACATTAGTTCGCGGGCCGACCCATCGAGGGGAGTTAGGGGCATGTCCTAATGGCCTGGGGTTGGCCTCCCCTTGCGTCAAAACACACCAGGTGTGGCGCAGCAAGTGGTTACGCTCATATCATACAAAATTTAATTAAAAAGATCCTGAAAGATAGTAACTTCTATCCGTAAAGTCTACGGTAGGGCAAAAAAAGGCTCGTATCCCCCTCTGCCTGAGAAACTGCTGCCTTGAGGCCAAGGGTTTGTAGTGTGGGTACCGGCAACTACACAAGTATTGTATCATATCATGCGAGTGCTCTGACCTTTGGTGCAATACACTATGGCGCTATGGGACACGTACAACGCAGCGTACGGTGTAACGGGTCACAAACCAGGCCCTAGAAAATTCGAAAAACCCGATCTCTAATTAGGGATTCACGGTTTTGAGAGAATGAAGCCTTCCTGATGCAGCGCTTCCTTGGGGGAGATGGATAAGTGATTTTTTTTTTTCATTCCTAACCAGGCATTTCCAGCTGGGGCAGCTGGCCCACGCAAAAATGAGGAACCTTGGCAAGAGCTGGTATCATACCCAGATATTCGCAACGTGGGATACTCGAGCACGCCAATATTGCCGGTGCCACAATATGGACCAAATTCACTTGAACACATAACTTGATACCGACAAACAAGGAGCTTCTGGCCCCCAAGCCCTCGGATGCTCCTTTCTGCTAACCCATGCGTGTCCTCGGGGTTCGTGAAACTTCTAATGGTGAGGGGTTGAAATTCCTACCGCAGTAGGTGATTACCTTGTGTCGGTAGACGCCCGCTCCACATTTGAAACTTGTATTGTAGCTTCCTTCCCAATGGTTAAAGCAGACTCCTCCTGAGCTCTGAGGACAGCACGGTGTAGCGTGACTCACTGTGAAAAGATGCGTGCCTGCCATAGATTGGGGGGAAATACTTTTATGCGCGAAAATGCAACCACCGTGAAAAAAACCTACGAACCCCGCCACCGCTATGCAGCCAAAGTCGTCAGACACTGTCGTAGATGCTCGTGTACCGTACCACAAGCACGGTGGTATCCCATTCTCCATTCCACCTCGCGTCGGCGTGGTCTCTGGGGTACGCAGTCAGGGTCGCTTTCAGAACGGGGCTCAAAATTATCGTATCATGTCGCACTGGTATCATACCCCGATTAGTCACTACTCTATGTAAGAGGGATTGGCGAGCTTGGCGAGCTTACGGTATGATATGATATGATACATCTGCTTTGAGCCCTACTAACGCAGCCAGGAGGTATCATACTCGTACTCGAGTACAAGGGTTAGATCTGTAGCTGACCCTTGTAGACTCCTCTCTTTTGAGCCTCGTGGATGCGGTGCTCAAGTACCGATAAGTACTTGTATGATATTTGAAATTCATAAAGTATAGGGACGCCTTGGCGCCAAGATAGCTATTAACCAACTCCGAATGGTCCGGATACTTTATAAATCGGCAAGTACCGGTATACCTTTGCCGCAAAGTTCTCTCTTTCCACTAGTCAGATAAGGGGTTTACAGCACCCCTGGAGGCATATCTGGGGGCTATCTAAGCGGTTCTTGCTGTTCTTGTGGTTGTCATGGGCATCGTGCTTGGGGTATACCGGTAGTACTCGTACAAGGGACTGTACCGGGACGTGGCTGTGTACCGTATTAGTGGCGTTAGTTTTGTGCTCAGCGTCCTCCACCTGCCGATTGAGAGATTTGTGGAGAGCAGGCCGCTTTACCGGTAGTTCCCATGCCGTAAATTCTAGGCAAACGCCACTATTCTTTGTCTGGCAGTTGCTATCCCCAAAAGTGCATTGGCCAAAGTATTAAGCCTTAAGAGAACTAGTGGCAACCATAGTTGGGAAGCAGCGGTGTGTCAGATTTGCACAGAATTCACGGGGCCTTCCTCGGCACACGGTCGACTTTGCGGTTTGAGACAGTCGCAGACTATGGTTGTACAGCAGTAGGGGTATTCAAAGTTAAAAATGGACGAGTGAAGAAGCAAGTTGATAGTAGAACATGCATTAGTTTACGGAAGGTGATGCTCCAATAGCATCATAGAAAATATAGTATCATTCTCGGAGAGGCGAACTTTTTTTTTTTGGGTAAAGTTTAGCGTACAAATGAAGGAAAAATTTTCAAGCACCAAGATCTCAACATAGGTAGAGAGAAAATCATACATTTCGGTGACAAAAGTGATCGTTGTCAACCACCTCGCCCGCTCACCACCTCTCAACAACAACCCCCCGATATTAAATCAGATGTATTTAGAATTACAGAATTTTTTGTAGAATAGATTGAATAAGAAGATTAAATACAATATATTAATTTAATATTTAGTATACCACCCTTTTGCCTTAATGACAGCCTTAATCCTCCTAGGAATACCCCCAACCAACTTTTCAAACAAAGTGTCTGGTATCAACTCCCAACAATGAATCAGGGCTTCCTCTATGAGTGGCTTTACCTTGTCTGCTGATCTAATATCTGCAGCCAAGTGAGCATAATGTTCATAGTAAAGCTTCTTGAGGTGTACCCAAACATGTTTAATGGGATTGAGATCTGGTGAATATGAGGGCCAATCCTCCAAAACCTCCCCCTCATTCTCCTCCAACCATGTCATTGTAAGCCTAGCAGTATGTACCCTAGCATTGTCTTGCATAAAGATTGGCCTAATATTGTTTTCCTCCAATTCCTTTAGAAAATCAAGTAAAGAAGAGTCCAAAGTCCAAACATATGCTCTTGCATTCACTCTACCCCCCATTTATAACCCTCATGCCATTACAGGTTCCCTTCAATCCACTAGTAAAACACACCCATACCATCTGCTTGATACCACCAGACTTCATCACTCCCTTCACACATTCTAGTAACTATTTTTCCTTGGATGTTCTGAAGACCCATTGAACTGCTAGATCTGCAGATTTCTTAACACTACATTTATCACTCCAGACCACTCTCCTCCATTGATCAATTGTCCAACCTCTTTGCCTAATGCACCATTCATATTTCTTTCTTAACAGAACAGGTATTAATCCTGGCATCTCAGCTTTTATATGCTTATAGATGCCAAGTTCTACTAGTTTTCTCTTAATCATCAGGACAGAGCCTTGTAGGGCAAAATCTCAGCAAAGCTGCCAAAGAGGCATTTCTCTGTTACACCTCAAGATAATAACTAAATGATGGGTACTGTCTGGAGAAATCTTTTGCACTTGATTGGTTCTGGTTAGTACTAAAACTGACCCTATTGTCTTGTATCTTTAGTATGCAGAAGTGAGCATGCAAGCCAGTATTTCTCCTCAGTACAATATCTTAGCAAAACCTGTTCCTACTTCCCGCATTCCAATGGCTTTCCAATATATTGACTCAGTCTATTCGTTCCTTTCTACTTGCTTTTAGTGTCGACCTTTTCTCATTGTAGTATGAGGCAGTGCTATTGTTGTAGTTTTGTTGTTGTCATGCAATCAGTTACATTACTAACAATAACTTTTGTCTAAGAACTCTACAGTACCATTATTGAAATGCCATGCAATGACTTTGAGAATATGGTTTAGACAAGAGCTGAAACGGAGAGCCTAATTCAAAAGCTTGAAAATTCTGACAATTTGCAAAAAATCAAAAAGGGCTCTGGAAGTACCAAGAAAACAATCATTACAGAAATTGCAGCACAAATTCCCATTAAAGAAGCGGTCAAGGTAGAATACAAAAATGATAACTACATGTAATCCTGTTAGGCTACAGCAAAATTAAACAAACTGAGCTAATGAGCTTTATCAGAAAGAGACTTGGATAAAGACAGAAGAGAGTTATGAGGTAAGAAACAAATTTGTACTTTCACAACACATAAAAACATTTTACAAAAATTTAATAATTAAATTAAAGAAAAGTAAAAATAGATAAAAGACTTTTCTGATATTGCTATTTCTTCTGTCTAGAGAGAATAGTAGGTGATAGATCCAATATAGTACACCCATTCTCCTATGACTTATGTGAGAGTACGACAGATACAGCAGTGACAATAGAACAATTGCTTATATCAATGTTCAAAAACAATCCAGAAGAAGAGAAGGAGGGTCAACTGGTGAATATTTGTCAGGGGAATTTCAGATTGAAAGTAGGAGGAGAGGCAGAAATTCAAGGAAGCAAGAGGAGGGAGAGGAATTGTAATGAGATCTCTGTGTGGAAAGATGGATCCTGAGGTTATGACTATACTGAAAGGTATTCTTCTGGGAATAAATATAACAAAATTTCAAGGTTTTTATCAATAGTGTTTGAAGAAACAATGCGTTAAAACTTAATAGAATTAAGCCCCAGCTTTACTCAATTAAGTTCTGATCTCAAAAGGCAGTTGATTACTAGAGTAAAGCAAAACATATATATACTTAAGTAGATTTCATATACTCCCAGTTGCTTCCCATCACTACTCTGTGTTTGTAGGCACCCAACTCCATCGGACTGTCTATCTAACCTCCACTGTTCAGACTAAAGATTCTCTGTAGCGAACTAGATATAACATTCTTAAGTCCCTATCAACATAAAGTGATGGGCAATGATACCTTTTCTGTATACATATGATTATATCTTTTCT